TGTGTGTGTGTGTGTGTGTGTGTGTGTGTGTGTGTGTGTGTGTGTGTGTGTGTGTGTGTGTGCGCAGTAGATTTCAGACTGACTAGAAATAGCAGCTACAGAAAGCTGATGGAGACCAAATGGAAAGATGTCAGGAGAGGGAGGCAGCCAGAGTTCTTCCTACAGAGTATAGCCGGGTAAAGCCATGTCAAATTTCCAGGAAAGCAATGCAGCCAAAACTACACAGTTATTGTTAGTGGCAGCAGCAGACTCTCTAGCACCACCCACAGGACAGAGAATCAGGGCTACCATGCACATCTCCAACCACGCTCACAGGACAAGCCTTTTATATTCTAAGATTTTCTTTTCCTCAGGCAAAAGTTCACTTTTCTGTCCTTGTAGTTTCTAGGACCCGAGAACAGAAATGTTTAATCTGGCTTTCTAGTGCGCGGCGGCTTTACAAGGCTGCTCTCAGCTACACAAGTTCTTAGATGACTGTCAGTCAGAGTTTCTACAACAAAACAGTCGCTTCATGCAATTTTAAAAACCTGTCGTGCAGCATCTCGACGTGTCTCTCTGCATTCACGTAGAGGGCACGGCTTGATAACTATTTTCCTTATTTTGTATTTGAAAAAAAACACGACATGGGGTGAGAAATGAGTTGAAAATGCCTTTTAGTCAATTACACAAAGTGATGAATAGGTCATTAGGGTTTTATTTGACAAAGACCGGGAAGCCCTGGAGCTCAAGGAGATCTGCTCCAACACGCTCACGACAACACTGAACTTTTGATCCTCTGAAAATACTGTGTCGAAATCAAAACAGTCTCTGTGTGCATGATTAGCTGTCATGTGTATGCACAGACACACACGTACAGAGAGCTGCAAACACACAGGCTTTCACTTTGGTGCACACAAACATGTAGACGCACGTATGCTCATAAACACTTGGGCACATTTGAAGCTGTGAGTGTAGATAAATGGTTTTTTAAATGTTAATGTGGTTTATTTTATCATCAGCTGCTTGTGCTCGGGATGGCACATTCTTTATCTTCTTTCATGCAGATTTATGTTAACTCTGGCGTCCTGTCACGCGCTGTGATGAGGTTTTCTTTCCATGGCATGCGGCTAAAAAACAATTATCCCACAGATCTTCATGTTTAGCTAAACGCGTAGCTTGTATTGTCTGGAAATCATATTTTAGTTGTCTAGCAGATATGTTAGCCACATGTGTGGGAATAAAAGATGAATCGTAGAGTTAAAAGTGACATTTCTTTGTGTTTTCAGACCGACATGAAGATCAAAGTCCTGGAAGCGAAGCACCAAGAGGAGAAGCTGAAGATGCAGCAGAGACACGATGCAGATGTTGAGAAGGTAAGAAGGAAAACTCCAAGGAATGTGATTGTGAATATTTATTTGTTTTTCTAACTTGTTTGAACATTTTTAAGGACAAGGGTTGTTGACCTGTGTGACGTCACAGGTCACATGACTATGAATTTGACCAGCTGTCAGAAAACTAGCCAAGCTAGTGTTTCGTTAATTCAGTCAACCAAAACCAAAGTCCAGTAGTCCGGAGCTTACAGTCCAGGGCCGGAGATACGGTCACAGGGTCATGTGGCGCTGTTCTGGGATGGAATCACGATTGAGTCAGTTGAACTTGTCATCACAAAGCTGGTCGATTCAACACAAGGCTAATCTCACAAACCTCTGCATCCTGTTTTATTTTGAAAGTTCTGACCAGAGGAGGTGATTTGTGTCTCCGTCACTTTGATGCTGGTGGAGTTTTCACCCTGTAAGAGGAGCTGGTATTAGCCGCTGCAAAGCTCCCATTGCTCTCAACGTCCTAACTCAAGAGAAAGAAGAAATGAACATTATTTCAGATGGTCTTCTGTTGACCACCAAAGTAGTGGTTGTTCCTGGAATTATAACAAGTACCCCAGTCAACACTGCACACTGCAGCACTGGCACCTGAGCTAGAATGACAGCGTACAATGCACTGTAGTGTACATCATGCTTCATTTGTTCTCCAATCTGTCCATGTAGGAAGTGAAAACAGCCTTAAACAGAACGCTATAAACCAGTCTCACACACAGTGGAGAGGACTCACAGCATCCCTGACTTCTGCACTGTAACTGCCACATAATGAATCAATCAAGGGATTAAACGTAATGCTGACGTGGCACCAGAGACGTAATTAACTAACACAGCGAGTGTAAACAGCAACTCTCTGCATTCACAGTCTGCACCGTCTCCCATAAGAAGAACTCATCCCTGGAGCCTCCTCTTCTGTTCACTGTGTCACAGCCCAGCATGAGTTTATGAGTTCAGGTAGAGCAGGAAAGTAGGACATGCTGCTGAAGAGATCTGAGAAGTTCCTCTTAAGAGCGGATCAAATGCCAAATTAAGATCGTCCACAGTTGTCTGGATTTCCTGCTGCTGCCACAGCGCATGTCCAGGGTTCCATGATTTTAAATAAAACCCCAGCTCCACCAGCGCTGCTGCACTGTTGGCAATAAAACAGAAAACTGTTTCTGAGCTGGCAGATCCGCCAACTTGAGCGCTCATGAAAACTATTTAACCTGTGCTGCGATGCCCATCATTGATCTGGATTCCATTTGGTGGCTAATGAAAAGTAAAGGAATGAGTCTCTCGTCTTCTTTATCGCTCCATCCGGCAAATAATCATCTCTTCAAAGCCTTTTGTCAGCTGGTGAAAATAGCAATGAAGCTGGTTTATTTCACACTAGGTGCCCGTCAGATAGGCAGCAGATCAAGCACCTGGGATCTGTCACGTCCTCGCTGTGACTTTCCTTTGCTGCCACAGAAGCTTTTAATAAAACAGAAAAAAACACTCCAATTTTCTCCCCACTTTAAGATGCCCGTTGCCTCTTTGTGTTTGACAAGAGACAGGATGACAGCTCGCTCTCCTTCGCTCTCCCTCTCTCTTTAATTACATACACATTGCTAGTTATGTCCGATTTAATTTCCTCAGAATTTTACCCACTATTTCCTCTAATGGCTTCAAAGGGGAGTGATTTGGCGGATGCACTCTGACGAGCCCGATGGAAGGTGGACAAGCTCAGTTTAGTTTTAATTAGACTGCTTATGAATAATGTATAGGCTGCTGAGAGGCTACTGGCCATTGTCCCCCTGCTTGAAATGGAGAGGGTAATGAGAGAACAGGCCGCAGCGTTGTGTGCTAATGGTTGTTGTCATGAAGTATTTAATAAACTCAGGTGAAAAAGCACGTCTTTGTGTTTGGCTGCTTAACATGCAAGCGATCTGAGACCAACAACAGACCACAGAGCTCGCCGGGAAAACATCCGAGGGTCACCGCTGACTGCAGGCTGCTTTAAACGGCTTGGAGATTAAATTACATTTGTGTTTGTGCTGTGGAATGTCTTTCTCCCGACGTACAGAACATGTACTCATGCTGTAACTGCAGGTTTCGTTGGTGGTTTCTTCTGTACTTGGGTTCGCTTTGCTCCATTCACCAATGGTGCTGGTTAGAGCCGTGGCTGGATTCCCCCCCGCATTAGGATGTCTTGTAAAAAGCTGAAATAGGGACCCTAAAAGCCGTCATTTCCCACCGTCTAGTGCACTTTGCCTGGACTCTCCCTGACACTGTGCCGCTGCCTTGTTTGGTGGACCCGAAAAAAGGCAACCATCTCTCTGAGGTGGTGAAATGGAGGAAAAAACCCATGGATATCCTAAATGTTCTGTGAACTTTGCTCCAGTCCTCCTTTCATCTCCGCCGTCCCATTCAGGCAGACACGATGACAGGCTCGCCTAATAAGTGCACTTACATTGAACAAAATGCTAAAGTCTCGTGTGTTTTGGGACTCGATGGAAAAATAATCCACTGGTGTGTTTTTCTGCCCGTTCATTCAGAAAGTCAGAGCAGCGTGTTGTTGAAATAGTCTGTTTTTTCAGTCTTGCTAATGGCTATGGTAATATCCAGTCCTAATGTGCTCGATGCTTTAATGGAGGTTTGGACTGATCACTGTGAGAGCAGAATTGTAAGGCTGATTATGAATTCATCTTCTCTCCATGGTGTATTAAAACACTTTAGAAAGAAATCCAGCTCCAGCATTCGGGCAGTACATCCATAGACCCTTTGATGAGCCGCCTAACGTACACAAACATACGTGCACATTATGCAGTGGAGTGATGGAGCGTGCTAGACTGTCCTTTTACACGGAGCTCCAACCCTCCGTGGTCTCATTTAACTAATTACACACAGATGGCAGCAGCAGGCAGATGCAGTTACCTCATCACGCCTCAGCACAGGTGGTTCACTCAGCTGCCGTTTCACTCCGTTTGCACACAGTCTCCAAAGGAATATGCATGTGGAGGACGAGGTCTTCTCGGGTCACGCAGTCAATTTCCATGCAGAGCGTTCCACGTCCGTACTGGGAAGTCGGAGAATGTTTGGGATGCATGGATTTTATGTAACTGAAAATAAAGAGCTGTTGTTTTGTAGTGAATATATCATTACTGATGTAAACAAACATTTAATATCATCAGAATATATTGATAACTTAGTTTCCTGTATTAATAGACACACATTTTAATTGATCTGTGGGTGCGACACACTCAATGCTAAAAAACATCCATCCATCCATCATCTCTACACCTTCATCCTCACCAGGGTCATGGGGGGCGGAGCCTATCCCAGCTGACTCAGGGTGAAGGCAGGTTCACCTGGACAGGTAACCAGTCTATCACAGGGCTACACTTAGAGACAGACAACCAAGCACACTCACATTCACACCTACGGACAATTTACAATCACCAATTAACCTCAGCATGTTTCTGGACTGTGGGAGGAAGCCGGAGAACCCGGAGAGAACCCACGCTGCACGGGGAGAACATGGAGACTCCACGCAGGAAGATCTCGGGTGTCCTCACCGGGACGCCAACCGGCGACCTTCTAGCTGCGAGGCTAACAATGCTAACCACTGAGACACCTGCAGCCCCTTTCTTAAAGATGGCAATGAAAATAGCATTGTTAGCATGGCCACATGGTGGTTTTTATCTGCTAAAAAGCATGTTATCTCCTCTACGTGTAGGCTTCTGTATGTTGTTCTTCTTCAGTGGTCAGAAGATCTCAGTAAAGGCTGCAAGTTCCTTTTATTGTTCAATAATTTGTTGATTATTTTCTTGAACAATCAATTCGTTGTTTTAACATAACATACATACATTCACACAAAATGTAAAACAAAAAATGGTAAAAAGAAAAGAAAAAAAGTGTTTTCCAGAAACCAAGATGATCCTCAAATGTCTTGTTTTGTCCACAATCCAAAGATATTCAGTTCACTGGTCCAGAGGAGTAAAAAAAAACAACAGAAATGTCCTTATTTTTTCCTTACTCGAAGCGATTAATTAGTTATCAAAACATTTGGTGATTAATTCAACAGTTTTTAAAGATTGTATTAATTGATGACTTGTTGCAGCTCTGGTCTCACAGCCATGTTGTGTTTAAGTGGTCACAATGCCACTGTTTACATATGGGCCATATAATATAATGGACCTTTACATTTAGCATCTATGACGTTTGGATGAAAACTCGTCTGCTGATACAACTGAAACTAAAAGTGCAAATGATTTAAATGGGAACCAGCGTGTAATGTGCAACAGAACTATTTTCTCAGCAGCAGAATCACTGAAAACTTTCTGTCCAGTTAAAAACAGTCTCCCTCCTCAGATTCTGGACAGAAAAAATGGTGAGATTGAGGAGACGAAGAGCCTGTACCGAGCCAAGCAGAAGGAATGGGAGGAGATGATCCGTAAGCTGGAGAAGAAAGGTGAGAGGTCGCATGATTCCAGGGTTAACTGGAAGGATGTTTACACGAGTGTCTCTGCACACTCAGGGTAAAAAGCCCAGACAGATACAGTTCAGCAGAGAAGCAGCGGTGTGCAGTGACGCTCCCCAGCTGTGCCGCTCAATCACATTTTAATCGCATAATGTGCGCCGCTCTTCATGCTTAATTTCTTTTTTCCTGACCCCGTCTTCTCCGTTCTGTCTCCGGCAGCGTTTGATAAAACACAGAAACTTGGTAAAGAGAAGCAGCTCAAGCAAAATCTGTACTGACATCGATTTACTGACAGAGCATCGATGGGTCGGGTGTCTGTCTGTCTGTCTGTTGGCACCCTGAAGCACAGCCTGACTGCTCTTTGTGTGTTTGTGCTCTCCCGCAGTTCAAAGTGTGCTGAGGGAATCGCAGGTCATCCGCCAGAGCAAAGACAAGCAGATTGCAGAGCTGAGGAAGATGTCCGATCAGAGCGCCGACTCCTTAAAAAACGAGTGGGAGAAGAAGGTACGAGGATAAGTTGGAGGTCTTGGATCCTCTGCCGCCCTGAGCCAGAGGAAGACAGTTTGTTAGCATGAGACTAGCAGACTGTGCTGCAAGGAGCCAGGCCTGCTGTCATCTGCATTCCTTCTTAGTTAAGTGTTTGTTTCAGGGTTATTTTAGTGCTGAAAAATGAATGCAGTCTGCCCTGGGTGAATCATTTGTTCACTCTGATAGCTGCAGCTAGCTGAGCTGTTGGGGTTCAGTTACATCCTAAAGACATTTACCCTCCTCACGGTCGCTTATCATGTGGTGAGCGATGTCGTTCAAGGAGTTCTCTCAGGTGTCAAAGAAAAGAAGTTGTGTTTCACACCCCAGATGGTACATATCAACAGAAACAGGCTCTTACCAGCTGATGGCTCATCCCAGCACTATAACTAGACCATGTATATAACTCACATTACACACAACAGGTTTTCATCATATCCCACTTTTACAATTGTTTATATAGAAATGAGTTAGTATTTCTCAGTGCTAGCTGTATTCCATGTCTTATCTTCAACACATCGTGCTGCAGCTTCCCAAAGAATGCCAAACCCAAAGTCGACAGCAAGTCCTTGCTAGTCGCTGTCATGTGCTCGTGCTCCACGACTTTGTGGTCAAGCAGATGGACAGATGTGGCATCTCAAGCATTTTTGTTTGTGAGCTTTTCAGACAAAGCAGTTCTACTTCTTCACAAACTGGAGACTTTCAGAGCCTCCGTCAACTTTAGCTCGCTACAGCATCTCTTTTCTTTTCTGTGGCTGACCATAGCAGCCGAATCACAAGGCTTTCCAGGAGAATGCAGCTTTGGGACATCTTCTGACAAGGCAGCAATTAACAGTGACATACGAGCTTCCCTCGTACGTCCTCTGTTTTTTTGTGTATCTGCTGAATAAGCTTGACTGTTGTGCCACTCGGAGCTCTAAATGGTTTGGTCATGCTGATGCTTTTAAACAATCTGACTCATGACTTGCAGAAAGAAAACAAATTCCTCACCAGCAGCCTCAGGTACCGACGGGTGAGTAGTTAGAGCAAAAGGGCACGAGGGATCGCTGAATGGTTGGATTGGTATGAAAATCAAGTAATTCATCAGCCCAACTGAACACCTGTGGGACAGCCAGGTATGGACTGATTTTGTCATTCTGTCAGAATCAGAGACATTCAGAATCGATGCCGAGCAGCACTGAAGCTGTTGTAGCTGCACGTGGTGGCCCAACACCATAGTAAGACAGCTGATGTTGTTTTTTCCTTTAATTTGGCTGCTGTCTGTACATCTTCAGTCACTGGGCTGAACTAAACCTGTGAAACACTCGCTCTGCCACCACATTACTAAAGCCAATAAAAAGGAGCTTCTTGGGTAGGAATGGAGAAGACAACACCCTGTTTAAAAGTACACAGTCACATACATCATAGGATAAAAAACATCAATTCATCACTTTGACACCAGAATACTGCTGAAACCCGATAGGTTGAGAAAGACCTTTAGGGCTAAATGGAACGAGTCAACAGCTAACAGTGGAAAATGAAACGAGGCAAAGTCCTGCAGATACAGTGAGAGAGATGTTTGACTGGTGTGTAACGGACCTCTGGACCTTCCAGCTGCATGCTGCCGTGACAGAGATGGAGCAGGACAAGTTTCAGCTGCAGAAGAAGCACACGGAGAACATCCAGGAGCTGCTGGAGGACACCAACCTCAGACTGACCAAGATGGAGACAGAGTATAACGCTCGCTCACAAGCTACTGTGAGTACAGAAACACGGACATTTGTTCAGTTTTATCTCCACTACCTGCATGCCACAACTAAAACTACCAGTCAGTTTTTACATGAATACTTCTGCATCTTTTCAAAACCATTTTTTAGCACAACCTCAGTCTGCTGCCACTTAACAAAATTAATAGTCTGGAAAGATTGACGGCAGCGATGGAGCGATTCTTAAATGAAGATAGCGATCAGTGACTTTTCCTGGTAGCTGCTGTAGTTTTATTTCCTTCACCAGCCGTGTTACAGGCGCTGTTTGGAATAAAGCATCTATGGTACGTATTTAA